ATCTACTACGTGCTCAGATTGATCAGTCAAGTGTACATATGAGTAGTAGATCGTTACATCGTTTTGATCAACATGCAATAATATTTTTTTTACGATTATTAGAAAAATAGCTAGATAGAAGTTAGATTATCACGTAAAATAAAAAATTCTAGTAATAAATAGTGTTATACCTCTTATACGTTTGAAGTTGATTAAATAAATGTTTGAAGTAGATTAATTGCATACATATAAATAAAGTTTAATATTTTACAAGCGTAATAAATTTATAACAAGTAAAAAAACTAATGGTCTTTGACTTATCATTTAAATGATATAGCGACGAAAATTATTTTATAAACACTTCTATACGAGCGCGAAAATATACCAAACCATCTAAACAGATTGCTTGAACTAACTTATGCTGATTGACTCTGAACAATATTATATGGCGGTAATAATAGATGAATAGTAAATAGAGAATTGCCTGGAACAATCTTATATCGTTGTAATAAACGACGTTTCATTATGTAAATAGAGTACTATTAAAATAAAATTCTGAAACAAAAGCACGGGCTTTTTAAGCTGATCAAGGATGACGAAGTGGTAGCGGCGACGCAAAAGTTATCGTTTTTTTCCTCCGACCCCATCTTTGGTAATCGACTCATTATCTGCCAGGGGATAATTACGATCGGTCGAGGTGTAATTAACGAGGTACCGGCGCTAAAAACCTCGGATGCACTATACCGGCGTTATCTTAAAAATCTCTCGTTGTTCTTCTCTTCCTCTTTTCGTTCTTTTCCTACTTTCGTTTGCTCCCTTTTACTTAACTCGATTCGCACTTATCTCTCCCCGCCCCCCCCGCCCGTTACGTCCTCAGTCCCTTTTTGGCGCGGCACTCTTTTTCGACGGTTCCTTTTGGGTTTGTTCTTCGTTATTACTCGTCGAGATTATCGATGTTTTTAGCACCTCCGAACCGCAAAGATTTTCTTTCGTTTTGTTCCTGTATTTTACAACATGGCTTTCTTATCGCGCGTCATTGGAATACGAAAAGAATGACGCGTTTCTTCCGACTTATCTAATACGTCTCGTAATCTCGTAATTTGTTGAGAATTCGATCACGAGTAATAATGTCGCAATGAAGAAATAAATTCTTCGAATTAGCTTCTTTCGAGCAAATATTTGATCGTCTATTATTAAAGACGAAAAGAAATTTGTATCGTACATTATATTATTTCAATACATATTATATGTTATTACACATGATATTTGTTAAAAGGGATATTTAAACATTTTACTTAGGAATTAATAACTTTGAGACATTGAAATATCGATGTCCTGTTCAAGATTTTATAAGTAAATTCATCGATCGATTTATTTCAGGTTGATGCCCAATTGAAAGAAATATAAATCGTTTCGGGCAATAATCGAACGTATTTTCGAATTTTAACAAATAATAAGTTGAATAAAAAAATCTCAATGTAATTGGACGTGACTTAATAGTAAATTCTAGTGCTTCCTTGACGTAATATAAAAAAAGTTTCACTTTGAACAAAATACTTTTAATATTTCCCAGTTTCGAATAATATATTCTTATATTCTTATTTTTTCATTTACTTTCACGTAAGTGTGTTTCGTGATTCTATCGGAATCGGTTGGAGGATATCTCGTTCACGTACGCGAAGAAATTAACATTCATATCTTTCGACTACATAAGCGAGTTTTAAAAACTCGGCGAAATTTAAAAATACCGCGTTTTTCAGAAAGTTTAATTGGCCGAGATACAGCGGGACGCGTGCCCACCGTTTCTTTTTCATTTTTATTAGCTTCTTATTTTCGATGCAGGATACGTGTCGACACTTTGAAGATGCGGGCCCTTCCAGGGTACCAATTACGATTGGCAGCTGCCGCATTGAAACGTTACGTTTGCGAATACACTTTGATTTCCATGTATTAAAAAAGTATAAACGCTTGCCTATGGCTTTATGACTCTACGAGTTAATAAATTTTAGTGTAAGCAGTGGCGAACAATTTTGCGAGAAAAAAATATGAAATTCATCTCAGTTAATTGAGCTGGTTTCAATTCATATAAGTTCGTCGCTATTTTATTTCTTTAAAAACGTTGAAAGCTATAGGCAAATACAAGATATCTACACTTATCAAATAATATATTTTTAATTTCGATAGATTGTACTACAAGTTACTGCACTGGTCTCAGGAGAGTATAAAAAGAAAAATCTTAAAGGAATATCAATTTCGAACAAAAATTCACAACGAATGAAGACATAATTGTTTCGTTATTTCGCTCAATTCTGACAAACGCCATAAACCGAAATTTCATTGTCGAGTTAATTTGTTGGGCCATTACTGTACAGAAAGCGTTTTCGTATTTCGTTTCACTTTTATGATTCATAAAAAGACGGTTTTCCGGAAGGTGGACATATCAGCAGCAAGCGCATTTTCACCGAGAGGAGGTAAGAGAGGCGCGTGCTCAATCGTGGCCGAGCACGCACGCACGCGCGAAAGAAATATCGTGCATCAGAATTCATCTTTGCCCGATGCACCTGCACCTGTCTTTGGGCCAAGAGCTCGTTTACTGTCGCAAGTTACGTCAGAGCCCCTCCTCGGAAACACGGGCTCTGAAAGCACGCAGCCAGCCACGGGAAATTAGCGTGATCCTACGTGATCTAATTTCTCGTTTTCCAGCAGTGTAAATTGTTTCTGGTCCAGTTCCTTCGCGTTTTATGAATAAAACGCTCGTCGGGAAGAACACATTGAACGGAGTCTAAAAATAAATCTGACGAACCGTCACATTCACCGGTTACGATAAACTCGCGCGTGATAAATCCAGAAGCAGTTTGCGTATCGGAAATTTTTAAAGCGAAAATTTCATTTCATACGTTTGCACGTGAAAAACCGGGTGATTCTAAATAAAAAATGCTCCCTCTCAAAACTTTGGAGTTAGTTTGAAAACACATAAGTTCACGCGCCTTGTCCTCCATTATTCCAACAGATGGATGGACTTTGTTGTCCTTCGAAATGGACAAGTTTTTCTCGTAAATTTCCAGAGTAGTATCACTTGGCCGTAGGTCTTGGTAGCGAAGGATCGCGTTCACCTGGAATCGTTATCGGAAGCCCGCTATCGCCGAATCGATTTCAATCTGTGGATTTCGCTGGTAGCGGCCCCCACCCTGCCGGGCCGAAGAAGTTAGGCAAGGTGTCGACGGTGGCTGTAGGACCGTTGGGAGTCTGCCGAGGTGCAGGTGACGAGTCCGGTGGTCCTCGTGGACGCACGACCCTACGAAAGTATGCGTGCGTGCGTGCGTGCGTGTCACCGCGCCCGTGAACAAGGATGGCCAAAGACGACTAGCCACTCGCGCGACGAAGAGGTAAGCCAGGCCAGGGTGGACAAACTAGTGGAAAAAAGAGGAGGCGCTGGTGAAAAGAGGAAGAGCAGAGAGGCGAGGAGCAGAGAAACGAAGGGGCAGAGAAAGAGAGAGAGAGAGAGAGAGAGAGAGAGAGATGGACGCGCTACGTCGCGGACCTGTAAAATCTAGAGATGGGATCGAGTACCTCACAAGTAGGTTCGAATCTTTACAACTATTCCCGATGTACGCTTCCAAGTGTACTCGGATCTGATTACACTGGAATCTCGTTAGTTTCGAATGTTTCGTAAATGTACTTCCGGAAATGAAAATGATGCTTGCGTCATAATGAAGTATTGCAAGTTTTTATTCTCCCATTTGTATTGTATACTCCGATTTATTTCAAATATGCGCTGTAAATTAACCTGATAATGAACAAAGAAGATAATATCGAAAAACAATCGTGTAACACGTCTTTGGGAGTTCCTGAATGACGTGGATGGATGACTTTTGATGTATATACTTCAGAAGTTATTGATTGGACAAAGCACGTTCTTATTAGGAAGTACGAGCTGCCTCTGTCAGCTCGATGGCTGCACCTCCGAGATTTGAAAAGAAACGAACCTCGTTTTCAACGAATCGTACATGTAAAATACAAGTGATGTCATTACCATATTCGACCGACATCCAGAGCGAGAAGAAAAAATCTTCAGTTCCAAAATTCGCACAGAACTTGCCGATTGAACTCTCGCACGAATGACGAGAAGAAGTAAAAGATACATTGAGTATTTCAAGAATGATAACAATATATTTGTATGAATCATATATAAATAACGTAATGAACACAATGACGATGAATTTCGTTACGTTAAATGATGAAACCTAACGAATCAAGGACGGAGGTATTCATCGATGCGTTCGACAGTTTTACGTTTCCGGTGGTATTCGAAAACCGTGAAACGAAACTTGGATATATGGAACTTGACTGGAATTCGTAAGTACACATTGGAGTTGATCCCATCCCTAGTAAAATCGTACCCGAAGAAAGCCGAGCGGCGGAGGGCGCGTGGCAGCGTGCAGCTGCAGCTGCCGTTTCGTTCTCCGCGTATGTGCGTACGAGAGGACCGCGCGCGGCACCATCTCTTCTCTCCTCACCTCTTCTCTCCATTCGTCTCGTCTCGTCTCGTCTCGTCTCGTCTCGCTCTCGTTGGTTCGCTACCTTTTCGTCCCTCTTGTCCTCTTTTGATGCGCGTGCGCCTGCCTACGGTCTGCTGCCGCCGCCGCCGCCGCCGCCGTCCCCGAGAGTCCGACACTGGTGGCGCGCGCCAACACTCATTAACGCGAAACTCCGTCATCGTACTTTCCCGCGTTTCGAGGCGCCGTGCCGAGGCGCAGCTTCTCCGTCACCGCCGCTGTCGCCACCGCCGCCGCCGCCGCCTCCAGCGATCTTCCCAGGCCAATACAGTTTTTCGCAACGTACACGGTCGTTCGATTCAACCGAGAACCGCCGCCGTGGTTGCAATTCGATTGTCATGTTTAAATTGCCCGTGTTAAATGTAATTTTCTTTCTTTCGTAACGAGCCATTTAGCGACTTCTTATCCGGCCAGCGAGACTGTGCGTCGGGCAAATTATTGGGTTGCATTACTCGAGCCTGTAGAGACGATTAACGATATGTATTATTTGAACGGAGTAACTCGGTTCCATACGCTCATTGTCGAGAAAGTTTTGCTAATTGTATGAGGCTGACACGTATCATAGAATCAATGCATTTTGTTACTCATTTTATTTAGTGTTGTGGTATATAGGTGTTTAAAAGGTGGCTCGATGTAACAAATTCTTGTATTTTCTTGTTCTTGGATTTATACATGTATTTGATGTAATTTGTCTGTTTAACTTTTAATATTTTTATGTTACAAATGAGTAATGCAGGTATTCCTCTCTTACGTTTTATAAAGTATACCTGTATTGTTTTAAAACTGATAATTTTATATTGATAAATGCTATTTGAAATTCAAAGATTAATTGTTTGTCGTAATAAGAATTCTGTATAATATCTATGACGTTATATATAAAATATGAATACTATTTATTAAAAGTCACTACTACTTTAATTAAAAGTCATACTTTCGTGTTAAATTGAAATTATTTATATTGAATTTTATTTTATTTTTTCTTACCAT